TGGTGTTCGACAAGGCTGCGTTCCATCGCATATTCTCTTTAGTTACGTCATTGACGGGATTCTAGTAAAGGTCCTAAATGGTTTTGACGGTGTGAAGTCTGCATCCGGACACAAGCTGACTGAGCTTGATTACACCGACGATATCGTGTTGCTAGCCTCATGTTTTGGGGATCAACAGTGTGCAGTGTCACGGGCGATTGCGATCGGTGCGTCTGGTGTTTGACAAGGCTGCGTCCTGTTGCCCATCCTGTTTAATTACGCCATTGACTGGATTCTAGGCAAGGCCCTACATGAAGAGAACGTTGTTGAGTTTGCACCCGGATGCCGGATGACTGATCTCGGCTACGCTGATAATATCGCTCTGCTAGCCTCAGGTTTTGATAATGTACAGTCTTAAGTGTCACGGTGAATGAGATCGCTAAGTCGATTGGCTTGTTCATAAATACCGACAAGGCCAAATTATCCTCGCGTTGTATCCCTGATCAAGATAAGGCAACCCTAGGGATTAATGACGGTTAACTTGAAGAAGTAGACATCTTTAAATACCTTGGGGCGTGACTGCTACCAGATGGGCAAAAAAGGACGAAAATCTCTCCCGAATCGATGCTGCTCCCCAGGTCTTCTCAGTCCTTCAAAAGCGTCTATGGATCCGACGTGACATCTCCGTCGCCATGAAAATCCGTGTCTTCTGTGCATCCTTCCGGTAAATCCTCTTCTGTGGATGCGAATGCTGGGCTTTGCGCATTGAAGATGAGCGAATGGCGGTATTTGACCACTGCTCCCTGATGAACAGTCTTTGAATGAAGTATACCGACTTCATCTCAAATGAGACCGTCCGGGCTCCCTGCGAAATTATCGTGAGGATATCCCAGGCCATTCCAAACGACGACCGGGCTGGTTTGGGCACGTTCTTCGTCTTCCGCCTCACGACCTGTGTTATGTTATTCTCGATCTGGTGCCGCATCCGACCTGGGGGTGTCGAAGAGGAGGACAACTGAAGACTTGACTCGACACCATTCGTCAAGGCATGGAAGCGGTTCTTGGACCATCGATTTTCAGTTTCCGTTGCTGGAGAAGAGCATTGGTGGAACCGTTAAAGAAGTTTGTTAATGTATTGAGGACCAAGTCCTGTGTGGCCTTATCACATTCGGTCGCCTTGACATTGTCTTAAAAGTAAATCAAAGTAGGTGAAATAGGAGAGCATGCGTTAGATTTTGTGGACGTCTGCGTCACTGTTAACCGATTAACGTGAGATTGTTGCATTGTCCACTTTGTGGAACGCGCGGTGGACATAATCGCCTATGATGGTCGAAGTGTCATGTCATTAAGCAGCACAGCCAACAGTCATACTTTGGAAAAATTTTTAGTCATTTTTCGATGATATGGGCTTTTCTACTGTTTGACTTTTTATTATCCCTCTCGTAGCTCTGCCAAGGACACGGAATTGAACCTTGAAGTTGCCATTAAGAAGTTGGATCGACCCTTTGACAATGCAGAATACGCTAAGCGGACTTATCGCGAACTGGCTATCCTCTCCCACATGGATCATGAAAATGTGAGTGTACAGGCGTCTGCTATAGTGCGTGTGTTCTTCATTCGTGATTACATCTCAGCATTTAAATATAATGCTGTTTTAGTCAGCACAACTACCACTTCAGCCATGCAAAGTGTTTTATCTTTCGTTTGATTCCATATTTATATTTTAAAGAAATTTTATGGTTTTGCGGTCAGAATTTCATGGCCTGTTTGCCTTTTGCATCATTACTGTTTTTTTCGACTGATG